ATGTGCCCTGTGCATGAGCTCCTGCGCCGCTCCTTTCCCTGCCCTTCCCCGCGGAGCTCCAGTGCCAGGCTCCCGGGGCAGGTGCTGGGTGGCAGAAGTCGCGCTGCCGCCGAGGCTCGGGGGGAGGTCGAGCCTCATCCCTCCCGATGTGACGGGGCTGAGGCGAATGACTTCGTGATGTCAGTTTGGAAAAGTGCTTTAGGATTAGAGTCAAATCTTGGCTGCGTCCGGGATGCAGGAGTGAAATCCTGCCTTCATACGAATGACTTCGTGATGTTAGTTTGGAAAAGTGCTTTAGGATTAGTCAAATCTTGGCTGCATCCAGGATGCAGGAGTGAAATCCTGCCTTCATGCGATGCTGTGTGCTTGCCTGTTTCTGTCAGGACCAAAATTTTCCTTTGGCCATCTCCCTGTGGTGTTGTTGCCCTGCTTTATGTCTGTATGTTGCCTTTTTCAGATAGACTAATTTTGCTTTCTCAGGATAGCGAGACTGGAGGCAAAGTCATCAGGTTTTCTCTAAACCTTTTTTTTGTACAAGTCTGACAGCCTGCTGGGAGCACTGGAGCTGGGCTGATGCCCTTTGCCTTCCACCTTGACTACCAGACTTTACAGCAAAATAAAAGTCTGACATGAGGTTGTGTTTTATGTGACTTCCTCACATCTCCTGGAGGTTTCATGTAACTTCCCTGTCTGGCCACCAAGTCATCAAGCCACAGCAGTTGCTGCGTAGTTCCCTGTAACCTGTTACGCTGTTCATGTTTCATCATTAGGTTTGTGTTTGTAGATACATAAAAACAGGTTAATGTGTATTAACTTTAATGTGCTTGAGCTGCTGCAGTTCTCGTTGTACTTTTGCCTGCATTGAAGAAAGAAGAGCAGATAAGGCTGGGATTGTTTCTGCATAAATGTTTGAAGTGTGCGTAGTTTTGCACGTGTTAGGAGTTTTCCAGCTGCCAAGCAGGATAGTGCATGACTCTGACAAGAGTATAATCACAGATGGCAGTGTAAATGAATTTCTGGCAGAGGTTCTTCTGTCAGCAGTGCTGCTAGTTAGTAGCAGGGTTTGGCTGTTTAGACCTTTGTTAATGAAGCTAGAACTACTTATGATGTAGTTAAGGTATAATAGCCTCTTTGCAGCTCTTTGGAAATGAAGGCAAAACACTGACTGACGGTTTGCAGTCATTAAAACCTCATTGCTGGTGGCTGAAGAGCTTTAGTTGTACAGGTTGATGCACATTTGGTGCTGAGGCAGTGATAGCCACATACCGTAAATGGCTTCAGGTGATCTGAGCACCCATTGTTGTTGTGCAGCTGGCAGCGCTGAGGCAGTGATAGCCACATATCGTAAATGGCTTCAGGTGATCTGGGCACCCATTGTTGTTGTGCAGCTGGCAGGGTGACAGCAGGGTGGCTCACTGCTGGGAAATCCCTTCCTGCTTGCAGTATACTTCAGTAGGGGTGGAGAATCTCAAACACTGCTGCAAAGTATACTTCAGTGGGGGTGGAGAATCTCAAACACTGCTGCACACTTGGTGCACACACTGCTCCACTACAGTGAGAGACCAGGACTTCAAACAAGGTGTATGGGGAGGGACAGTCACCCCCTGGGCAAGAATCATAGGATAATTTTGGTGGTTTTGACTGATTTGCACTGCTGTTATCTACACCAAGCTTATTCCTTGTCAGCAGGCAGTTATAACCTGTGCGCCAGGAAGACCTCAGTAGGGTCCTTCTGAAGGCTTCACATAAGATGTCTCTGAGCAGGTACAGCAGTCACTGTCAGACTTTGGGATGGAAAGAAAGAATTCTTGTGAAATTAGATAGGTGGAAAACCCAACAGGCTTTGGATTAGATACTTATAAAGGCCTAGCCATTTGGTGACACAGTCCTACTCCTGCCTGTCATCTGTGGCCTGTGTTATTGTGGGGGCATCATAAGGTGGCTTTGAGTGTGAATGGATTCTGGCTGAAGCAAAAAGGACTCCAAATTTAGAATAAATGCAGAGCATTGAATTTTCCTATTATATAGCAGCAAATGTCCTCCTAATACCTTGCTTGGGCACTCCCACAGGGTTAGGAGGAGGTCTAGACTATGGGAGGAGCGTCTGTGACCTTGATGTGCTGACAGCCTTGAGCTGTGACTGGCATCCTTGGGTTAAAGGGACCAAAGAGTTGTTCTGTCATCTTGAAGCTTCCTATGAGAAAGTCACTTTTACTGATATCTCACATGCAATGAAATTCTGTTCAGGTTGGATAATTTCTGAACAAGCTAACTCAAGGTGCTGCAACAGTATTGGTATGGCTAAGCAATGAGTGTGAATCTGTGTCATGGTGTCTGTTTTTAACTTTGCTCAGAGATCCTGGCTCAGTTGCCTGTACTGGCACTTGTGGGATGCCTTAGTAGCTAAACTACTAATCCTAAGGGAGCTGTCTCGACTTGAAACTATCACTAGTGGAAACAGCATGTACCATGCCAGTGTAAGAATACTTGTGGGAGCAAGACTGGCTGTACCTCACTTAGTATTTTTAATAAAATCATGCATGGTAGTTTTTAACTATTCTTTTAACCCTTGTCCCCAGAGATTAAGGTACAATATCTGTGTGTGTGAACCAGGCTCTAGTCTGGTAAAAATGTGTTCTTTTTCTTATATACTCTGTCTTATTTATAGCTGTTGGTTCCTCAGACTGTAAGATAAATCTGGTTTTCATACAAGCTTGAATAATCTACACTTGAACTGATGCTCACTTGATTTTTATTTTTTTTAAACAGAGTTTTACTGAGTATTTTATTGCATGACAGCTGTGAGTCCAAGCCTGGTAGTAGTTCTTATCTATCTTATCTCTAACACTGTTCAAAACCCATTCTTCTTCAACCCTGAACCCTGTTGTGTAATTGCAAGCAATACATCAGAAGGATCTAGGCCTAATGGACAACACTAAAACTTTACCACCAACTTTAAGGCATGTTGCCACATAGCAAGTTCTTCTATCACTGAATGATGAGAATTTTTTTCCAGAGGTTCTTGTGTTACATCCTGCTTTCAGTAATTTTTTTATTGGCTTTTTTGGGGGGCAGGCCTCATGCTCTTCTCTTCCCTATGTCTCCATTATTCTTTGGGCCTCTTCCCTATTTCATCCTTTATGCTTTCTGGAGGCTTCCATTACACCTGCATCCCCTCAAAAGCTGTGGTGGTGGCATTGCTCCCGGGAGAAGCACAGTTGTTGGTAGGTGGTGGGAACTTGTGGCACTTGCACTGCTGGGCCACAAATAGGGCATTCATTCTCCTCAGTAGAGGAGCTAGGTCAGTGATGC